ACGAGCAGGAGCAGATCCTGCTGGGGCAGCTGGAGAAGATGGAGAAGAACATCTCCAGGAGGCAGAACGAGAACATCAGCGAGCTCTCCAAGGAGATCACGCTCCTCAACAAGCTCATCACCGAGCTGGAGGAGAAGATCCAGCAGCCCGTGCTCGAGTTCCTCAAGGTGGGAGGGGGGCTCAGGCCTGACTTGTGACCTTCTTCCCCCTTTTTTTTGGGTGTGTTTGTGGATCCTCCTGAGGTGTTTTGGGGTAAAAGTCCCCTTTTTTCCCTGCCTGTGGCGACGTCTGAGCGCCCCGAGCTCCTCAGTGCCACACAAACCCCTCACAACTCCCCCCGGGTGGAGTTTTGCTCCTCCTCATCTTTAATGATTCTGATGAACCTTCCCCCCATGAACCTACCTGAGCCCTTCCAGGACCCCCCCCCAAGCTCCTGGTTCAGGGCTGAGTTAGGCCAAACCCTCCTTTCCAGACGCAGCCAGGTTGGGAAAACGTCCCCAAAATCCGTCCCCAAAATCCGTCCCCACCCTCACACAGCAGGAGGGGCGGCCTGTTAATCACCCAGATCTTCATCGAGCCAGGCAGAGCGCTCTGGTGGCACCCCCAGCCCTGCACAGGGTTAAATTCCCCTGCCAGGCCCTTCCAGCAGGGTCAATATTTGCAGATGCCCCAGGAACTTGGCTCGGGGTGGGAATTCCTCCCCCCAAACCCCACCCCACGCAGCAGCCCCGTGGGGTGATGTTCTGGTGACAAACCAGCCTGGGAACTCCTCCAGGGGCTCTGGGAGGGGGCAGAGGGCTGGGTTTGGGGGGGGGTCAGGGCTCAGGGATTGATTTCACTGCCCCTCTCTTTCCCCTCTCCAGGACGTGACGGGCGTCATCAGCAGGTAGGAGGCTCTGCCCTCCCGGTCCCTCCACACCCCCATCCCCGTCTGAAGGTCAGTGCCCGCAGCCCAGATGCCAGAGGGGAGGCCCCAGCACCGATGGAATCCGCCTCCCACTCGCTGCTGCCGGCCCTGGCTCTCTCCCAGCCCCCTGGAAATCTTGTCCTTCCCTGCCAGGAGGTTTCCTCGAGGGGTCAGCTGAGAGCAGAACCCCCCAAACTGACACCCCAGGCACCCCTGAGCTCCAAAAACCATCCTGGGGCTGCTGCAGGAGCGGCTGGGAGGGGGTTCCCCAGCACAGACCCCCTTCCCAAGCACCCCCCCTCAAAGCTGGCCCCCCAAATCCGGGTGTCCTCACCCCATGGGGGGTTTAAATCCCAGTGGGATCCTCATCCTGACCCCATCCCTCAGGACAGGCTCTGTGGGGTTGAAATCCCGGTGGGATCCTCATCCTGACCCCCAGGACAGGCTCTGTGGGGTTTAAATCCTGGTGGGATCCTCATCCTGACCCCCAGGACAGGCTCTGTGGGGTTGAGATCCCGATGGGATCCTCATCCTGACCCCCAGGACAGGCTCTGTGGGGTTGAAATCCCAGTGGGATCCTCATCCTGACCCCCAGGACAGGCTCTGTGGGGTTTAAATCCCGGTGGGATCCTCATCCTGACCCCCAGGACAGGCTCTGTGGGGTTGAAATCCCGGTGGGATCCTCATCCTGACCCCCAGGACAGGCTCTGTGGGGTTGAAATCCCGGTGGGATCCTCATCCTG